ACTTCGCTAACAATAGCACCTGGGTGCTATTGTTAGCGCCCAGTATATCCCGTCTTGTGTATTTGTTTATGTATTGATAATATCCTGCAACGCCCAAAAACATTGCTAACTCTCCCTTTGTTTTAACACAACGATTTTTTGGGGGTTGAAGTAAAAAAGACGTTTGAAGCGATAAGGAAATGTGGGCAAATAGGCTGGCCATTAACTTAAAATAACATCCCCTTATCTCATGCAAGGGGGACAGGGAGAGTGACAGACGGGTGGACAGAGTCGACAGAGAAACTAAGAGACAGGATAAAAGGGTTGGAAGAAAGTTGGGGAAAAGGAGAGAGAGAGAGAGAGAGAGAGAGAGAGAGAGAGAGAGAGAGAGAGAGAGAGAGAGAGAGAGAGAGAGAGAGAGAGAGAGAGAGACAGCGAGAGAGAGCGAGACAGCGAGAGAGAGCGAGACAGCGAGAGAGAGACAGACAGACAGACAGACAGAGATCATTGTAACACACGCAAAAATTCTCAATCCTTCTCTATTTTCCACATCCTGGTAGCAGTAATCACCACACAATACTAAATACTACTCACTCTAAATTTAAGTTCACATCAAGCACAAGTAAAGGTGGTTAATTAAGTCTTGGGTAAAGGAAGTCAAGTCCAAATACCCATACCAATCTTGTAACAAAATTATCATATAATTTTCCAACAAATTCTCAGAATACTAGTTTTTTTCTTAAAGATTAAAACAAGTTAATTCTCCTAAGTATATTTTCTTGTCTATATTTAGTGTTATGGGGACAAGGAGCTGGGGTATGAGGACAAGGAGCTGGGATATGAGGACAAGGAGCTGGGATATGAGGACAAGGAGCTTGGATATGAGGACAAGGTGCTGGGATATGAGGACAAGGAGCTGGGATATGAGGACAAGGAGCTTGGATATGAGTACAAGGAGCTGGGATATGAGGACAAGGAGCTGGGGTATGAGGACAAGGTGCTGGGGTATGAGGACAAGGAGCTGGGGTATGAGGACAAGGTGCTGGGGTATGAGGACAAGGAGCTGGGATATGAGGACAAGGAGCCGGAATATGAGGTCAAGAAGCTGGGATATCACCACTCACCTTCACCACCCTCACCTTCACCCTCACCATCACCACCCTCACCTTCACCACTGTGTTGGGGATGGTGGCCGGTCACAAAGTGCTACATGACCAAATTAACCACATTTACTTAAGCCTTTGTCCTGGCTCTGTTTTTGAGCCGACTCCTGACAATTTCTAACCTGGACACGCACGCACGCACGCACACACACACACACGCACGCACACGCACACACCTTCACTAGTACCCGAACTGAGGGGTATGAGCTACGAGGCGAGATTACGAGAATTAAACTTCACGTCGCTGGAAGACAGAAGAGTTAGACGGGACATGATTATCTCACAAGATTCTCAAAGGAATTGATAGGGTAGATTAAAGAAAGACTATTTAACACAAGGGGCACACGCACTAGGGGACACAAGTTATATGACAAAGAGTGCTGGGAAGACGGGACACCACGAGCGTAGCTCTCACCCTGTAACTACACTTAGGTAATTACACTTAGGTAATTACAAGTGGAAATTGAGTGCTCAGATGAGCCATAGATACATTAAAAAAAACAAATTTCAGTGTCAGAGTAGTTGACAAATGGAATGCATTAGGAAGTGATGTGGTGGAGGCTGACTCCATACACAGTTTCAAGTGTAAATGTGATAGAGCTCAATAGGCTCAGGAACCTGTACATCAGTTGATTGACAGTTGAGAGGCGGGGCCCAAAGAGCCAGAGCTCAACTCCTGCAACCACAACTAGGTAAGTACACACACGTACATATATTTATATATACCCTTATTGTACACACATAAATTATTTCGTTATTTAGTCTTTAATTTTTCTTTCCGTCCTTCTGTTTTTGATGTTCGAATTTTTGCTTTCCTCGACGAATTCAGAAATGACTATCAGTAGTGTTCAAGAAATGTGTAAGTACTTCATTCATAATGATGTGATGTACTGACGCTTATCTCTGATTTTTTAAGTAATTGCTTCTACCTCTCTTATTAGATTATAAACTTTATTTTACATGCTTACAAATTGTGCGGCATTAACTTATACACGACATAACTATTATAAGGGAAACGAAAAACACAATAACAGACTCCATTAATAGATATCACGACCCAACTTGACCGCTATTTCCAATCAAACACCTCATCGAACTCCCCCGAGGGTTCCCGCGTGATAAAGACCACACACTTCCCGAGGGCTGCAAATAAAAAACCCGAGCAGCAGTTACCGCTAGGAAGCGGGGCTTTGTTCTTGGCAGAAACATTTTCAAGCGTTGTTGACTAATGTTTTTTCCATTATGGGACTATCCTAGTGAGTCTGTGTGGTCATTTTGGGTGCAATAGTTTCCCACTGACTAGCTCCTTCGATGAACTTTGTATCGTGAGTCTCATGAGTATCATGAGTCTCTCACGCACTCTGGTATAGGATCTTCCCTACTAATTCACTGGCAGCGATGCAAGTGGATAAGAATGCTGGTCGTGTACCTCAGTTGTGTTCTGAATGCCTATTTCTCCAAGTTTATCTGATAGTGTTGCTTGGTCCGCCTGTCATCTAAGTCTAGGTTGAGTGCCTTCTTGGATATTGACTTCAGGAGCTCATCATATCGACTTAGTAGTGGATGCTCATGTTAAAATGAACGTTAGCCATGGTAATGTGAAGCACTTTGTGTGACGGTGGAGGGCGTCATGGGAATCCAATTAGTCCCCTATTCTCTCTTCAATCCTCTTTAGGTCAATACACTTCTCCTCGAGTACTGCGGCAATGGCGTTGTGACCCAAAGGTACTCCAAGTAGTGTGCTGTAATAAATGACTACACTGAAGCCTACGGCCTACGGCTGGCGACTCCCAACTACCTGAGAGATTAATGACCGGAGCGCCAGTCACACGACCCGAGGGACGCCACCTACAATTTTGAAGTAAAGACATACCCCTATTAGGGCATTCCTACTCCTTCATTACTTACAGTTAGGCTACCCTTAGGGAGCCGGTCGGCCGAGCGGACAGCACGCTGGACTTGTGATCCTGTGGTCCCGGGTTCGATCCCAGGCGCCGGCGAGAAACAATGGACAGAGTTTCTTTCACCCTATGCCCCTGTTACCTAGCAGTAAAATAGGTACCTGGGTGTTAGTCAGCTGTCACGGGCTGCTTCCTGGGGGTGGAGGCCTGGTCGAGGACCGGGCCGCGGGGACACTAAAAGCCCCGAAATCATCTCAAGATAACCTACCCTGACCTCCATCTGTATGACCCTCAAATGTCTGTGTGCACACCTTGGCCAGAACTCACCAAGCACTTAGATGTATGTACACTTGCGAAACCTGTATATCTTTCCTCATTCATGGCAGCTTTGTTTACATGTATGAAATAGTTTACGAGTTCAATCGGTTTAATAAATACCGACTAAACTATCACGATGGTGGAAAGATGTACCGGTTTCGTAAGCGGACACTTAAATGCCCTTTCCCCTCTTAATTTTCACCCACTCTCATTTTCACCTCATGACATGAAGGGACTGAGTCCAAAAAACTGAGAGCGAGTACTCCAATCCTGGGGAAGGAAGGAAGGGGACGAATTAGTTGGTACGAATCAATGATTGGAAACTCACCATTAAGATTTGGGCCACACTTTATCACCGAGCGTTCCCAACGTACCGATTGGGACAAACCAATCAGATTAGGACCAACCATATCATTGCCACCCACCACAGTGACCGGGGCCAACTACAGCGATTGGAATGCACTACAGCGATTAGGACCCACCACAACTATACGAAATGGTAAAAGTTTATCACTGTGACAAACGTTGACTATTTCATGGTAACGTTTAACAAATTATTTGAACGTTTATCACTGACTGGTAACTTTTAACACTCCGTGGTAACGTTTATCGCTTCTTTTTTAACGTTTAAACATAAACATTTTCTCAGCCTCCTGAGTAAATCTGGATTGCTGTGTTTAGCGCAATGTTTATGTGCCTTCAGTGCCCGTCCTCGACTCAAGTCCATTCCATCCAGCGGTCAACCCCACAGACGCATTCATAAATTTTAACATGCCGTTCATTCAAAACAAGAATTTTCTCAAATATAAATTAATATTATAATATATTGGTATATTGTGTATATATAGGTTAGGTTAGGTGTTTAGGTTCTGTTGGCGATTATTTGTATTTGTAGTACGTGGGTGAAGCATTTATAGCGTTGTGATTCGAACAAAATTCGTCAGTGAAGCACTTGTTCCGGATATGTTCGAACGTCATCAGTTGTGAGTCGTGTGTAAACCGCTTTTCATTCATAAACAGGGGGTTTGGCGGGTGCATGGAATCAGTTTTGGATCTTTGTTTGGAGGACGGGCTGGATTTCGTTCGAACACTTCCGGTACAAGTGTTTCACTGATGAATTGTGTTCGAACCACAACGCTGTAAATGCTTCACCCACGTACCTCAAATACAAATAATCACCAACAGAACATAAACACCTAACCTAGCCTGATTTATACATTAAAAAATAACAATTTTAATACACAATTCGTTAAAATTGTCGAATGCGTCATGTTGGTCGTCTGCCGGCTTAACGAGCCAAGCCTGAGGACAGGTTGAATTATCCCTTCCAAGTGTTATTTAGTGTTAGTGTTTTCTCCTCATAATTACCTAACCTACTTTACTGATAAATGACAATTTATTACTAAACCATGTCGAGTAAATTTATCGTTGAACTTATGTCCTTGTCGAAGTGTGTTCATGTTGGTGTATCAGCACCTAGGGATTTATATAGTCTATGATGTGTTTACATTGAACGTGTTCGAAAGGTTTGAACGTGTTCTGTGGTTTGACACGGCGCATGCGCAGGTGGGTCTGGGGTAGATGAGTGTGCCAGTGACGTTGTGTAGTACCGTCAGTCTCCTCCCAGGTGTGCTATAGGGAGGACACGTCGCTGCGGCCTTCCTCCACAACACCACGTGGCTTTCTCGCCGCCTCTACCGCAGTTTAATGCGTGACTGACTAATGGCCTGATTAATTACCCATAGTTAGATCGGGATTGCATGTATATACTTGTAAGGTATGTGGACGCTCATAATTACGGTAGTTAGTGGAGCAGAGTGTTGAACTATCGTAGTGTATTGTGAATGGTCTTGTGTATGGTGATGCAAATTCTCGAAACTGATTGAAAATAACATTGAACAGTGTTGAATAAATTAATGCATTCACACCAAAATTGATATATGAGAACTAGACTAAGCTCTAAGAACCATGAACGAGCCCGCGTGATCAAACTGGAGCTGCCATTGACTACAGGCTTACAGATAGCTGCTTACTACCCAGACACGCACACACAGTCTTTAACTTGGTAGCCAGGAGATCTAGCAACTGTACAGCTGTGCCAGGATTAAAGACAGCTGGTGTGTGAGCTTACAAGAAGTGTGGACAGCACAGCTAGTTCGAGCTAAGCCATGAGGATGGCTGGTGCAGTAGTTTCAGGTCTAAGATGGTTGATGGTTGTCGTGATAGTGGCAGACGTCTCCGGCACTCTCCAGGAGGGAATGTGAGTACCTAAACTTTCCAAATGTTATATTTTAATCAGTTATAGTGTTGCCCTCTAAATGCATGTGAGTCAAGTGTTCTCGCTCCATAAGCTAGGCCTTGGGTTGGCCATGCGCTAAGGATTTCCTTGTGTGAAGCATCATCCCTCTTGGATTTTATAGCTTGAAATCTGTGATCAAAAATTGTTTTGTCGACTGGCATTACTTCAGCAATCTTGCAGAGAGCAAGCAGAATGGGTTGGTGGGGAGGCCACGATATATTGTTGACTCTAAAGCTATCGACGACAGTGTAAGGTAAAGCGCCCAAGGTGACACAATTTGAGTTATGCGATCATTCCGTAGGTCAGGTATAGCTTCTGTTCTCATGTCTGGCATACAGCTATCTTAAAATACTTGAGCACCAAATCATCAGTGTATGTACACAAAATGAACTTTTGTGTACATACACTGTTGATTGGACTGTTAATTGGTAGTCTACCAATCAATTTTGGTAGTGTAGGCCACATTTTGGTAGTCTACCAATCAAATATCATTTAGAGTGGAAGCTGTGATAGTGGTATGTTTCCAGTTACATGTTTGTGATACATACCAAGGATCTGTCTAACCGGTGACTGGTAGCCTATTACGATTCAGAATTGTATTTTTCGTTACTAATCTATACAACTCATTACAGTTGTGGCTGGATTGAGCTGGTGTGTGTGTGTGATGAGTGCGGGGCGTGAGTTGAGTAATGTGTACGTGCATTAAAATTCAGTGTTGAAACAGTGACAAGATATGTAGGTGTCAATTTGATTTTAAGACGCGCACGCAAGCACGCACGCGCGCATGTTTGTTCTTGTTGCAAACCGTCTAATGATAGACGGTTGGAACGAGTGAGAAAGTTGAGGCCAAGACCGTCAATAGTTTCAAAGCGTTATGACAAAGAGTGCTGGGAAGACGGGACACCACAAGCGTGGCTCTCTTTCTGTAATTCCACTTAGATAATTACAAATATCGTCAGAATACAGCCTGTTTAACTCCCCGTGTAGCCATTTACTGCTAGGTGAACAGAGGCATCAGGTGAAAGAAACTGGGCATTTTGTTTCTGCCTCGACCAGGAGTCTAACATAGTCTCTTTGACTACTACTCCTGAGCGCTTTCCACTCGGCCGCGAGGACCTGTAATGTGTGTGCGTGTGTGAGAAATATATGTAATGTCTCCTACATATGTTTATCTCTTGTTTTGCCACAACGTTGAAAATACAAAGGGCTAAGTTAAGCAGAAATGTACGAACCCAAGCCACCCACCTAACCTAACCATTCGTTCCATAGAAATCGTGGATCTTTGTGAGTTGCCCTTCGGGCAGCCCGTTCTCGCCATCGTCCCCAACATCAAGAAAGTGTAGTACTAAAGGGCCCTAACCTAACCTACCAGAGGACCACATGACCAGAAAACATGATGTCAGTGGCGCGAGCCGCTACCATTTTCTTGTACCTCGGTTTTTGGCCTACGTGTACGTCAAAATGCGACGTACTATAAAGGGAGAAAAGATCGCTCCGTTTGGTTGTTGTATATTGGTCGAACTCTCAAAAATTCTCGCGGTCGACCACTTAACCATCACCCCAACACCAGAGCCGCGCTCCTCTGGTGCTTCAACCCGTTCTCGCAAATTTAATAAGTCAATATTGACTTATTAGTTGCGTGCATAGGTGACATACTAAACATAATAGTTTCCCTTGAAAAGCTTCATAGAAAACACTGACCTTACCTAACCTACTTAGTATGTTAAAATAAGCATATTATAGCTTATCATAAGCTTATAGCTAACAGATTATCTAATACACACACGCCCCTCACCCCCTCACCCCACACCCAGTACGTCATGCCACCGATGCTTGCAAAACACCATTCCTTTCCCCCATCCTACCCCCATCCGGCAACCAGGAGGCCTGGTCGACGACCGGGCCGCGGGGACGCTAAGCTCCGGAAGCACCTCAAGGTAGGTAAGGTACCCCCCCCCCCACAGTCTCACGGTGCTTACAATCACAAGATTATACTATAGAGTTACAGGGATACAAGTCATTTTGGATATACGACGGGTTCCTAACAGGTTCTGTTGAAAGATATCTAACCTAAAGTAACCTAACCCAACCCAACATAACCTAACCTAACCCATCTTTTTCTCACGTAATTGTTAATTTTTTACTAGGGTTTTTTCGGAAGTATTTAATGAGGCTCGTGCCTTGTGCGAGTGATGGGGAATTGTTGTGGTTGTTGTTGGCTAACCCTTTCCACCACCGCCCACGGGATGGGTATGGGGTCCACCACCGCCCACGGGATGGGTATGGGGTCCACCACCGCCCACGGGATGGGTATGGGGTCCACCACCGCCCACGGGATGGGTATGGGGTCCACCACCGCCCACGGGATGGGTATGGGGTCCACCACCGCCCACGGGATGGGTATGGGGTCCACCACCGCCCACGGGATGGGTATGGGGTCCACCACCGCCCACGGGATGGGTATGGGGTGTATAATAAAAAAGAATAATGTTGTCTTGTGTTACTCGGGTGAAAAGATTGTTGTTGGTTAAGTGGACATTTTGTAATGTCAATTTGTGTGTGGGTGGGCGGTGTAGGTGTGTGTGTGGGTGGGCGTGCAGGTATGTAGGTGGGTGGATTCATATCTATGTGGGCGTGTGGATGGGTGGATCCATTTCTAGGTAAGTGGCGGTTCATTAAGTACAATAGATGTTACCAAGATATCAAATAATCATTAAAAGATTAGAATATTATTCATCACATAAAAATTCAACATTATCAACCCATAACAGCTGGGTCGTATCCGATACATCCCCCCTACCCCCCCCCCCCCCTCCTCTTACTCGAAGCTTAGTCAGATTCCTTCTTTTTTTTTAAGTAATGCCATCTTCGTTAATTATCTGATGGGTCGCGTTACTTAAGCAACGTTGTCTTCGTCACGACTCCGAAGCAAAAGTCTGCTGCTCAATCAATCATTTGTTTTTGTTTGTTCACAAGTTTATTGTCATTGTGGAATTATAATGATTTTTGTTTTTTTTAGCCAGTCAGTTTCTCGTATTTGGAAATTTAAATTTTTTATTTTTATTCAATTAGGATTTTCGTTTTCTTTGTAGCACTTAGGGCGCCTGACAGCTGGGTGGACAGCGCTTCGGATTCGTTTTCCTGAGGTTCCGGGTTCGATCCCCGGTGGAGGAGGAGACAAATGGGCAAAATGTTTCTTTCACGCTGATGCCCCCTGTTACCTAGCAGTAAATAGGTACCTGGGAGTTAGACAGCTGCTACGGGCTGCTTCCTGGGGGTGGAGGCCTGGTCGAGGACCGGGCCGCGAGGACATTAAGCCCCGAAATCATCTCAAGATAACCTCAAGATAGCCATATGAATCGCTGGTATAATAGGTTCTTTTCATTCAGCTTCCCTACACACTATAGTGGATTTATGAGTATAGTGATTTTAAACAGTTAAAATTAAGTTTGATTCACGTCTACCGATAGCCAGAGAGGCAACTGTGTTTTCTTTAGGTTATCTTGAGATGATTTCGGGGCTTTAGTGTCCCCGCGGCCCGGTCCTCGACTAGGCCTCCACCCCCAGGAAGCAGCCCGTGACAGCTGACTAACACCTAGGTACCTATTTTACTGCTAGGTAACAGGGGCATAGGGTGAAAGAAACTCTGCCCATTGTTTCTCGCCGGCGCCCTGGATCGAACCCGGGACCATAGGATCACAAGTCCAGCGTGCTGTCCGCTCGGCCGACCGGCTCCTTGCCCTACTAGTTTTCCCTGGAACGCATCTCGCCTGTCTATTTACACTCAGGTTCCCAATTACTGTTGGGTGAACAGGAACGAGCAGTTGACGATTGGCGCCCAGTCGATCCTCCCTAGCCAGACCTCAAACCAAAGTGAGTGAATAATTGCCAAAATGAAGCGATAAGCTACGAAGGGCTGCATACTCTTCCAGAATTTTCAAATATCTTCAAGATATCATTTGAAAGCCAAACTTGTGGGGTAAATTAAGTCATTTCTCTTCAACCTTGAAACTATTTCTTCCATCCTAAACACTTAATCGCCCGTGTGAATCTTCTGTCACTTTCTTTTCATTCATTTCTTTCTACACACACACAGTGGCAGGCCCGCTACAGCGTCCACAATACTGCCCCAGCTGTCCCTCCAGCCACCACAGGATCAGCTGACTGTGTTTACAGCTGTCAGACAGTCGTGTGGAGGGTGATGGAGAATATCTCCCCCCTCCCCCCCACGCCCCCTTCCCTTACTGATCCCTTTTATATTCCCACCCCCTCCACCTCCCTCCCAACTAATGCATGTACCCTTATTATGCTCTGGGGCCGCTTGTGTAGTCTCTTCCTCTCCTCCCTCTCTCTCCATCTTATATTTTTCCCCTCCTTCTCTTATACTTTCTCACACACACACACACACACACCCTCTCTCTTCTCTGATTAACACCCTCCCCTCCCACCCTTCCCACAGCTCCCGTCACACATTCAAAGCTTCCCAATCATTCCCAACTCCCTGTGCCTCGTTGGCTCGGCTGTGCTGAACATTGGACCGTGTTGTATAGTGGCGTAGAGGTGGTTTTTGCACTCAGGATACAACAGAATCTTTTGATTGAGGTGTTCCCCCGATGCCTTCCTCTGAAAAGACTGGCGATAGTAAGCACGTGTTAATATTTTCGAAGATGCGAATACGTGTTCGAGAATATTTAGATGTGGACACACCCTCCAGGACACCCCAGTTGGGTAGGGTGTTGTGACACATGGTGGTTGGGTTATTAGGACAGTGACCATTGCTTGTTGTCATCCCCTCCTCTACCGTGGACGTCTCGCAGTAGGTGGGTACTTTTGCAACAAGAGGCCGGTGACCTCACACACTCATTTGCATGTTGAGTGGCCCTGGAGGGGAGGGAAGGTTAAGTTGGTGGTAAACATCATGTCCATTGCAACTTGTTTTTTTTGTCACTTTTTAAGTGTTT